GATTGAGGTACGACAAGTCCAGACTGGATGTGTCCGCGTCCACAGACATCTGCCGAGCGGTGAATATCATGTTTCGCTGTATGGATGAGGCGCTCGACGATCGGCTCCTGTAGTCCCAGTCGTCCGAAGACTGGTCGCTGTCCCGTATGTCTGACGCTTCAGCCATTGTGTCTGCGGTTGGGAACTGTTTGGTGATATCGGCACTGGTTTTTCGCACAAAAATATAGGATTGTTTAATACGTGATGTTTTTGATCAAGGAGATTTGATTTTTTTGTAATTTAAATTTTGTTAATGTCGGGATTTTTACATAAATTATTGCTATCTTTTTATATATTAATTAATATTCATTACAGACTTTTTATATAACGATTTAAATTTTTTTGTTGCAATTAAACAGTGATTTTATAGCAAATTTTTTGATAAAGATTTGTTTTAAATATTTTTTTGAATATTATTAACACTTTTCACATGACATAACACAACACCATTGACTACGGATTGACTACGAAATTGAATTTGATTTAATTATTGAGCTTTAAATTAACTTTTTATATACACAGACATAAACATATGTATCCTTGGGATCCCTTTTTAACAGTTTAGTATAAATTATTGTTAGATTTATACTATGTTTATAACTATATATAAAACACTCACTAATAATGAATTCAAAACTACATTTGAGAGACAAATACATATAATATAAGACTTTTATATGTAGTTATTTATTATTGATTTTAATCGCATATATAATCTTCAAACGAGTGGTAAAGTCGAGTCTAAACTCAATATTAAGTCTCTCTCTCTCTCTCTCTCTCTCTCTCGCATCTCATCTCTGAAACACGTCTTTGAAAATCTATTTATAATTTATTTTTCATTACATTTTCTGAAACTAAAACAAAACTTTTTTTACTGATCCAAAACTCCTATTCAATCAAATGCTATGTTTTGAGCGATGATTTCGGCAAACAATTTGTCTTTTATTTTTAGCTCAATTCACAACACATTATATAATAAACATTAAATTTAATAAAAATAATGCCATAACAAGAATATAATAAAGTTGAATTACAAACCGGGTTAATTGTTCTAGGCAAAAATAAATAAAATTATTAGGGAATATATTAAATAACAAATAATAATTTCTAACAAAATATTTACTATCGATATTATATTATTTATGAATTAAAACAATTTTAATCAAAATTAATTAATTTTTTAAAGAAACTGATAATGGACCTTAACCTTAACCTTGGTTATGGTAACTTTATTAAAGTTATAACATAATTAAAAATTTATAATTAAACACCAATTAAAACAATTAAATGATCATTAAAAGCCGTTAAGTGCCTGCAATGCATACGCTATACGGACGGGATGGTCGTCTTGAGGTCGGTTTAGTGATGTCCAATCGGGTTCAGAGCCAAACAGGCGGAACAGTTTGAGGTGATTATTTGAATCCAGTGTCAGCCTATGGTAACCGCCGGCCATGAATGACAACAGATCCCCCTTTTCGACCAAAACACGGATCCACTTGTCTTCAACATCCCTGACATCAAAATAGCCGGAGCCGTCCAATACTAGCCGTACTTCGGGCTCATTGTGCATGTGTTCCGTGTAAAAGGAGGCGTGTTTTTCGACTTGACTTTCTATATCAATGATATCCCAATAGTTGTATCCCTTTTGAACCGATAGGTTTTGTAAATTTTCCACAGTTTTGTATTTATTCACATTAATCTGTAATTTAATTTTGACATTTTTAATTTTAAGTAACATTTTAATCAGATAAATTAATAGTGTATTTAAATTGCTAACAATTATATTAATAATAGTAATTTGTAACAAAACATAAAGACAATACCCATTCAGTTTGAACACCAATTTTGCGCCTCAACTCATCTAAAGTCACATATTGTGGAGGATTGAGATGTCTTTCACTCCGTTTTACCTTCTCGTCGGTCACTAAACTCTCATCATTTATATACCAGGCCTTCACCATATTGTTTGTAAAAGTATCTAGTTACTTTTTATTGTTACAAATTTACTTAAATTATTTATTTTATAACTTAAAATCAAATATATATACCGAAAGAATCCGACCATTAAATGAGATTACGTGAACCAAACCACTCGTTATTTAATTTACTAATCAATGCAATCAGTACTCCGTTATTATGAACTAAATATTATCAAAATAAATTATCACGTTATAATTTGTTGTCTATGTATAATCTAGGACTTAGATTAGATAGTAGGAGCAAATGTACCATATTATAATTATATTATGATTTGAATAATTAATTACTTATATTAAATAATATGATATTCAATTTATTCTACAGTAATATAATTGTTTATTGTGTACTATTTATCCTTCTTAATAAAAAAATATGAGAAAGGTAGATTATTACTTGTATTTCTCTGTTGTAATCAGAATAGTATAATTTATTAAAATAGTCTTATTGTTTTTATGGTATAGCGTTGGGAACCACAAAGTATACAACAAACAACATGCTTGTTTAAATCTTAATTAATAAATATTATACAAATCGTTATGCATATCAGTTTACTTGTAGTATGAATTTTAAGCAATTTAAATTCAATGGCATAGTGCATGGCCAATTCAAGCAATGGCTTACATAATTATTTTAACGTTAAATTAAAAAAACAAATATAAAATAATGATGTATAACTCAGTAATAACTTATCATATTAAAAACATTTTATTAAACATTCAATAATATAAAATATAACTTTATAAATTGATATATTTTAATATAATTATTACTCTATTGCATTTATAGCACAAATTCTATTATCATAATCATTTAGTAAACACAATGTGAACCCAGTACTAAAAGCCCATCACAGCCTTTTCAACATAGGCTATGCGGGCCGGGTGTGAGTCGGCCGGGCGGTTGAACGACGACCAATCGGCTTTTGAGCCAAACAGCCGGAACAACTTGCCATAGCCGTCGCAATCGAGGGTAAAGCGATGATAAGTGCCACCGACCAAGATCAACATATCGCCCCTCTCCACACCAATCCTGATCCAATTGTTGTCCACATCGCGGACATCAAAATAGGCCGATCCCTTCAACACCAGCCGTACCTCGTCGTCCGGGTGCATGTGCTCCGTGTAAAATGCAGCCAATTTATCATGGTAGTTTTCAAGTCGCTGCGGGTGAATGTCCAATATATCCGAGTATTGGTAACCCTTTTCGCGGCAAATCTCTTGCAAACTATCGTCGGTATCGTATTTATCAACATTTACCTGAAATATTTACAAAACATTTTACTTTAAATCTAGAAATTAGTTTGCCCATGATTGTTCCGTGCATAATCTATTATCAAACTATTGTTACCACTTTTGCAGTTTTAAGGATTGGATTTATTTGAATAATTAATAGCTTATTTATATAAAACTTTACAATTAATGTCAATAGACAAATGCAATACCCGCTCGCATTGAACGCCAGTCCTGTGTCTCAACTCATCTAAACTGATATATTGCGGAGGATTGAGATGTCTTTCACTCCGCTTCACCTTCTCGTCGGTGACCAACTCTTCGCCGTCGATATACCACGCCTTCACCATATTGTCAATTATTATAACTTATAATTTATAAATTATATAAACTAATTGCCTGTTTCTTACAGTATTGATCAAATCCAAAAAGAATTTTTTTGCTAAAATTGATTTGTTTTTTATGGAAACAACAATTTGTATGAAACGCTTATAAAGAAGTGATTTATTTAAAAAAGTGGTAAACGAGTTGTGAGATAACAGCGAACCAGTTGTTAGTGGTGTCAATCAAATCAATATAAATTATTTATCGTAAATAATCATATATCACATACAATGCTAAAGATGTGCCATATTTTTTGTATATATGCTTCATATTAAATATCAAATTCAATATTTTTTTTATGTATTTCTAAAACAATCTTTTGGCAGAATTAGCGAGAATTCATCCTTCAATTTATGATTAATATAAAAAATTTTAAAATCTAAAATTTTAGTAAATATCTTGAAGGTTATTTTCCATAGGGTATGAACAGTATGAAGTTCATATAAACATGATAAGATACATACACAAACATAATGATCGAACAAAAGAATGTTTTAATTTATATTATAAATTAAAATTTTAGTGTAAACTATTTAGTGGATAGATAATAGAGATTCTTGCTAAATTCGCAAGGGCATTCAATTATTTAATTACCAAATTAATTGTGATATTTATTTAAATTAAGTTTAAATGACTTTCTCAAAGCAATACAATCCAGTTCAATTTCAATTTCCAACTTACTAGGTTCTAGATGATAGTTAAATTATTTTATTAACTATAAATTGCAGTTGTATTGTATAACTTATACTGTTACTTATAAAATTATTATTTAATTATTAAGTGACTTTAATTTTGCCCAGAAGATGTCCCAGCTCAACTAATAAGTTGCATATATGTCACTATACTGTAATTTAAGAATTTAGATACTGAATCTGGATACTATTGTATGCATTATACAAATATATACCGATTCTATGCATATAACTTATATGATATAAGCATAACACAATGTATTGGTATTTTGAGCACTAAATGACACAATGAAAGTTAATGTAAAACTAGTTTTTTTTACAAATTCTATGATTTGTGATTTATTATTGACTTAATAATATGGTAGTTTTTGTTTATTATTTGCATAGAAATTCGTCACATTTTTGAGCATAATTAAAATTTTTAAAATTAATTGTCAATGAATCTTTAATTCTACCTAGTAAATAAAACGATACCTAGAGTTATTGTTATTTAACATAAATGCCTGTTAAAGATCCATTGCCTTGATTTATAATTTTAAACATTAAATGTCTGAGAATTTAATTCTAACTGAAAATTTTGAGTAAGTAATGAAAATTTAGTAATGTAAAATATAGTATACAGTACAGTATATAACACATACTACATGTATAAACATTAATGATAAAACCATAATCAGTTATAACTTTTTGTAAATTATCATCAGAAAATAAATTATATAATCTGATAACATATCAAAAATAAATTTTATATATTTTGTGCATTGAATATGAAGTAAATATATAATACAATCAATGAATTTGTTTAAAAGGAAAAATTATATTTATTTCATTTTTAAATAGAGGGAAACTGTTTAAAATCGCAATAAACAGTTCTACCATATTTGTTAGAAGTTTACTTTACTAATAGTAATTTTAATTTACCAACTTAATCTTAAAACCATGAATACTCTCAATAAAGTGATCAGAAGTCCCCAAATCAGGCAAACCCAGGTAATTATATTTTATGACAATATTAAATATTAATATATAATTAAAATTAAATTGTTTAACTTGGTCATTTTTAACATGTTGTATTTATTACTACAATAAATTAATAATTTTTTGCTGTTATAATTATTTCGCAATTAATTGCCTATGAAATGCTTTAATCAATTTGATTTATATTGATGTTATAAATTATTATAATGTTTATTCAGTTATATTATGTAATATACTGTAGTGTTATGTAAGTTATAAATGTTGTGATAATCAGATTAAATATAGACTTTGTTTATATAAAATAAAGTTCATAACAAGTAATAATAACTTCAAATTATATCAATTTCACGTTGAATTAAAATTATTGCTGATTATAACTAAAAAACAAGTGATAATCTAATATATAAATTACAGTATGAGTTCAAGTACCATGTTAAATCTAGTACTTATATATTTGTGATCGGATTATACAGTATTTATGAAATGCACAAATATTTAGCAATATCAATTTTATTTTTGTCACACCATTTACAGTCAGACCATTGGTTTATTATTAGACTTTATTATTAATAATTTTATTAATGACTTCCCTTTCCTTCACAAGACCTAAATTTGATTATAATTTACTTTTCCTCTAAATAAAAGTTTTAAATAGCATTAAAATAATGTATTCTATTGAATATAGTTTGCACTAAAATAGTACTCAACTAATATTTCGCTCATTTGTATTTTAAATTAATAACAAGTGTTCCCATTATCACTATTTGGTTTGATGTTTGACTAAATTGTTATTTAAAACTTGTTGGAATATCAAAATTTCGGACTGCATATAATTATTATAGTGTACTGTTTATCAGCATTATCATGATTAGCTTTAAAATAGTTACCTGTCGTTGATAAACAATTTAATTATATTTTGATACAATAAATTATTGTCAATTATGATTTGTATTGACATTTACAAATAACATTACTTCAACATTTAAAAACATTTAAGAAATATAAATATAAAATAGTATTTCAATTAAAACCCAATTATTCATTAATACAATTAAACCAAAATATCGCTCATTAAAAAACATATTTTTATCATTATATTTATTTAAACAAATATTTTTTATAGACATAACAGTATATGAAAATTGTGAGCAAAGAGTGAGGGCAGAGACGGTTATGTCGATTAGACTAATATTAATCACTATATAAATTACTATTAAAGCTATTTATGTGACATATTTTGTAATATATTATATAATTGTACACAATTATTATCATATACGGCAACAATTTAGTCTATTTTTAATACAGTATACAGGAATTGAATGTCATTGTACTTAAATAAACAAGCCTTGAAGATGTTCAGGGACGTTTTAATTTACATTATGTCTGCTAATATAATTTACATTCACATCCATTATTTGATTATCTACTCTGATTTGAATATATACAGTATTCAACAAAACTGATGTATTATTTCAAATAATTTATTTGTCAAATATCTATAGAAATGATTTTTGAAATAATTTTAAACTGAAAATTCTTTCAAACAATTGTTAAAAGCAAATGTCAATTGAGTTATAAATTGAGTTCATTAGAAGTACAATTTATAACAGTTAGTAAGTATTTTTATCAGCAGATTATGGTTCAAATAATAGTCTTAATTATAATTTATAAATAAAAACTTTAAGCACTTTCATAAAAACGCTAAAATTACAAATATTTCCAGTCAATATACATTTGAAAAGTTAGCTGTCCTTGATTATTTCTGGCGAGAGACCAGTCTTGGTTCACCATATGCCATAATAGGCACCAAAATGAGCTAGATTTCCACAATAAATACACCATTTACTAAATGATAATTTGTTGGGTCAAAATCAACCCTGTCCATATAAAAAATTATGATAATAAAATTGTCCCAACTTTTGTCACATAAGTATGTTTTGACAGTTATGTCAAATGTCTTACAAAACTCATTAAATTAATGTCAGATTAACAGTAAATGCATATTTTGTCCTTATGAATTTACAATACCGTATTACTACTGTTCAGTACTACCTAGGTTATTTTAATGTCAGTATTCCATACGATAACACTGATACGATATCACTATCATATCAGTGATAGCCATGCAGTTCATTGTAGGGGAATGTTGTACACTGTATGGGCACAAACATAGCCGCCCCTAATTGTGCGATAACTAGATTTACCATTATGATAATTGATGCACACAATGTACAGCATTTGTCCTTCACTGTGTATTTAAGGGAACAGTTGGCTATACAATCGCTGCACTCATATCCCAAGTACTGCTACAAAGAGTATCTGTCACTTGTGTTTTCGCACTTGTTTTTCGCGATATTTTTCATTGCAAAATATTTGTGTTGGAAATTAATTGTGTGTTTGCTTGAAAGTTAATTTGTTCATGATAATAAATTTAGTTTAATACAAAACTACACAATTTATAACAATGGGAGTGATTAAGAATCCGGAAATTAAATATACCCAGGTATTTGTCTTATTGATTTAAAGCATGATTGAATATCATAATTGTTTAGCAAATATTATATATACTTTCTTTGTTTGAATGTACTTCATATTGGATAAAATCATTATTAATTTTACCTGTAATTTGAAGCTATTTATATAAAGTTAACATACTCGTCAGCATCATTTACCTAAAATATACAATACTTTACATGTATGTTGAATGAATGTCAAAGTAATTAAATCGCTATTCGGATGATTATATTCACAAAACCCACATTTTTGCAGACAATTACATAAAAAATAATAAAATAAAAATATTTTCTCTCATTAATAACTTGAATTACTTGACAATAAAACTTGAGATAACCTTCACTTACAATAAACACTATGAATACTCTATTCATTACATAATAAATACAATATTGTCATATAATTGACAGAAAAAGCTCATTATTTTTATTATTGATTAACTTTACAGCTCTTCATAAACAACGAGTTCGTAAACTCCGTGAGCGGGAAGACCTTCGAGACCTTCAACCCTACGAACGGCAAAGCGATCACAAGTGTTCAGGAAGGAGACAAAGCCGACATCGATAAGGCTGTGGCCGCCGCCCGGCATGCCTTCCGACGGGTAAGCCATTAACACACGTAGAATAAATGTATATAGACTTTACTGACCTCCTCCTGCCCTCCCATCCCTTCCCACCGCCAGAACTCTGAGTGGCGATCGATCGACGCCTCCCAAAGGGGTCGACTACTGTTCAAACTGGCGGACCTACTCGAGCGCGACATCGACTACTTGGGCAGTTTGGAGACACTGGACAACGGCAAGCCATTAAGAACTCTGAGTGGCGATCGATCGACGCCTCCCAAAGGGGTCGACTACTGTTCAAACTGGCGGACCTACTCGAGCGCGACATCGACTACTTGGGCAGTTTGGAGACACTGGACAACGGCAAGCCATTCGCCGACGCCCTGTGGGATATGAACGCCGCCATCGCATCCCTGCGCTATTACGCCGGTTGGGCCGACAAAATTCACGGCAAAGTGATTCCCGCCGACGGACCCCTCTTCGCCTTCACTCGCGCCGAACCCGTCGGCGTTTGCGGACAAATCATTCCCGTAATTATTATAGCGTTAAATGTTATTAACATAATGTAAGATTTATTTAACTAGTTTTGTTTTACTTCCCATTTGTAGTGGAATTTCCCTCTGTTTATGATGTCGTGGAAGATCGGGCCCGCGTTGGCCACCGGTAACACTGTTGTGGTTAAACCGGCCGAACAGGTATGAGCACAATTGTAAATACCCTAATGATTAGTATAATGAATGATTACGGTCTCCCCCTCTCAGACCCCGTTGTCTGCCCTGTATTTGGCGAGTTTGGTAAAAGAGGCCGGATTTCCGGCGGGTGTTGTGAATGTCGTTACCGGTTACGGACCGACAGCCGGTGCCGCCCTATCCGAGCACAAGGATGTGGACAAAGTGGCGTTCACGGGCTCGACGGAAGTGGGCAAGATCATTCAGGCGGCAGCGGGCAGATCCAATTGCAAACGAGTGACACTGGAAATGGGTGGCAAATCGCCCTTGGTCATTTTTGATGACGCCGATCTCGAGGCCGCCGTACAAACAGCGGTAAGTCTCGGGTTATATATTAGTTTCTCTAAAGTTAGGCAATGAATTTTGGGGTAATTTACTGATTACTGCTTTACATTGAAATCATGCGATTTAGTAACACATGTGTTGATTATCTAGATCTAGATGTACATCACTGATTAAAAACACATTAAGATTATTTGTCAATTCTATTTATATAATTAAATTAATTTATTTAGTTTGTGTTTATAAAAAGAGGCAAATATTTAATTAATGATAACATTTATTGAATTACAAAAAATATGTTTACAATTTAGCGTCTGGGCTAAAGTCCACACATTATTTATGGGATAGTTTATATTATTTTTAAGTTTATAGATAAAAATGGATACTTTAAACTACAATCTGATTTAATACCTAATTTATTAATTTGTTGATGGACCATGGGTGATCATGGTGACAGCATATTGGTGTTTTCCTCAATATGGGTCAGTGCTGTTGCGCCTCATCGCGAATCTACGTTCACGAAAACATTTACGATAAGTTTGTTCAGCGATCGGTAGAGTTGGCCAAAGCCCGAGTGGTGGGCGACCCGACAGACCCCAAGACACAACAGGGCCCGCAAGTGGACGGCGACCAGTTCGAGAAGATCCTGTCCCTCATCGACATCGGCCGTAAAGAGGGCGCAAACCTATTGACTGGTGGCAAGAGGTGGGGCACTCAGGGCTTCTTTATTCAGCCCACGGTGTAAGTGACCACTAAGTTATAGTTATCAAGATATATAGTAAATAACACAACTAGTGTAAACTAACCTAGATTGTTTTGTTGTTTGGAAACAGTTTCAGTGATGTGAAAGACGACATGACCATCGCTAAGGAGGAGATCTTCGGTCCGGTGCAGTCGCTGTTCAAATTCAAGACATTCGATGAGGTGATCGACCGGTGCAACAACACTGAGTACGGTTTGGCCGCCGGTGTGTTCACCAAAGACATCAACAAAGCGTTGCA